GCTAAGGTTGCCACATCAGATGTTTGAGTTTGCTTCGCTGCAGCCTTGGCCCATCTTGCATTCACAGCAAGAAGTGAAGTTGCATACCTGCTTGCATCGGCACATTCCGCACTTTGCAATTTGTGTTCATGTTTGGCTCAAATGCGGCTTTACCAACGCAGCCGGGCAGAGTCCGGAACGCGGCTTGGAGCAGTTGGTTGCAGATCGCAGTGGGTGGCACGATGTTTCTTTGAGGTTCTAAGTCGAGTCTCTCTTGGCTCGGGAAGCCGAGCCAAGTTCCATAGGCGGGCCTGAGCCTTGGGCTAACTGGCACATCAATTCGTTGGCAGGCGGCCAAGCCCGCGCTGGAGTCTGAGACTGGGCGACATGTTGGGCGGGAGATCTTCAAACACTGGTCCTGCAATTTGGGTGCCCTGAGTTGAGACGAATTCTTGCAAAGCTCAAGCGGGTTTCAGCGTCAGCATGGGCTCAAGAGATCAGGGTACCTTTTTCAGGTTGGTTTAAAGGGACACCGAAAGGAATGCCACCATTTTTCGAGGTGGACCCCATAGGTCTCACAGTCCAAGTCCTTGCTCAGGATGTTCGCTCGAAGACAAGATGTGGCAGCTTCACCTGACAGCATTCATGCTGTGACAAAGTCACTCCAAAAGCTGGCAGTCCTGCTGCCCGGCGCTTAGCGTCCAGGGAATCAGCCACACGACGGGTTTGCGTTTGCGACATTGTACACACATATATATATATATATATATATGTATATGTACACACAGGTACGTGTGTGTGTACATGTATATCCAGAGGTATATGTACATTGAGAAGGCATCGGAATGAGGTTGATGCTGGTCGCACTGGTGTGCCCAAGCCTCAGAAGTTCTTGAGCCACAGCAGATAGCGCCTGTGAGAGTCATTATTTCCAATACTGAGTCAGAGCCATAGCAAGGGCATGGGAGGGTTGCGCCCATGGTTACCGGCCCCTGGTGGTCACTAGTCACTAATAGTCACTATTTGGCTGCGATGGCTCCGACTTCCCGAGGTGGCCACATCCTGCTTTTCCATTTGCGTTCCGTGCTGGTGCCTTTCGTGCCCGGGCTGATCGAGCTGGGGGAGTTGTGAAAGGTTTTGAGCGCCGCATCCCATGTGTTCCGTTCAACTCTGCCATGGAACCTGTCTTTGCGTTTGTTTCGTTGAGATCCATGTTAGTGTTGCTTATTCTCGGTCAGGTATGTGGGGGAAGAGCTCGCCAACCCTTCCCTACAAGGATCCATTGACTGTCAGATGGGGGGCCATTTCCTGTCCTGAAAGCATCGCTGTGAGCGCTGTGTTTTTCCACATCCTTGAAAAAGGCCCCCCGACGCACTAGTGGGAGGGGACCCGCATGACAAACCATCGGACACCTTCAACCCTTCAGTACCGGGTGTCAGACAAGGACACAGCTCTTAGAGGGGCTTTGCTCCAGACCAAATATTGCTTGAGAGCAAATGGGTCAGGCGGTATGATTGACATTGCATAGTTTGAACAGGTTATGCAAATGACAGATTGCTGCATGCGTGGCCAAACTGCAGCCATTGGCTTTACTGTTTTGTGTAGCGCTCAGGGCGCTGACCTCTCTTGCGGTATTGTGAAGCTTTGTTAAAGCCCCTGACAAAAGATAACAATGGCTACTCGCTTTGGCCAATAAATACTGTTCGAGTTTTTCCAGAGACCAAGAGGAAAGCAACATGTCACTATTCAGGTCACTATGGGAAGTGAGGATAAGAACCAATGAGAACCAACAAGGGTAATGTTCATTTTGGACACCTAGTGACCACCAATAAGATTTCCATCAAGAACCAAACCATCTAAGATCCACGGCCAAGCACCCGCTTGCTCCCCCACTCGGGAGTATTCGAGGTGCTCAGTGCGCTGGTGATTTGTGCAGTTGAGCCAACTGCAGCACGCCTAAGATCGACGGAGGTCTTTTCACTGGTTCGCCATGGTCCGCTTTTCCTTTTTGGTTCCCGTTGTTTTCAAGGGGCTGTGGTTCCACATCCACCAAGTTCTGACCCAAGGAGGTGTTGCTAACCTAGGCCCGGAAACGCCGGCCCCCCATTGAGGGAAGCCACAGTGGTGGTGTTGGAACCATGGCGGTCAATTTATGCGTTGAGACCAGTTTTGCTTGCTCGTAGGGAACCTGTTGTTCATCCTAACCCCAGTTTTCGAGCTCCATTTTACATACATAGTTGGGGGTCAGGGTCACCCTCGTGCCACTTGTGGAAATTTCGGGAGGCGGATCCCCGCCAAATGGACTGACCTGGGTCCTCAGCTCGCCGGTATTCTGGGAAGTGCCCTTCTTTAGGAATTTGTGAATCAGCCACTGGCTAGTGGCCCTGTTGGCTATTGAGGAGGATCATCAAACTCTCATAATGATTCTAAGTAGCGTCCATCGTGGATGTCCTGCGGACGGTGATGGTGGCACCATGTTCAAAGAATGTTGCGAAATGTCGTTACACGAACAGTTGGATTGCAGACAGTTGAGCATTTTGATATAGAGTACACCTTTGATCTGGTAGTCACCCTTCACAATTTCTGTTGAGGCAGCCATACGCAACCATGCACCCCACCTTGGGAAGTCTCACCGCGTTGCAGATGGACAACAGTCAATACGCAATCCCCCTCATCTACCGTAGGAGCGTCATTGTGTACATTGATCGCCACAAGAGACTGGGGCTGAATTCCCAAAACCCCGGATGGCTGCTTATGTTGTTGGTTCCCGTTTCAATCCCGAGCAGGGACGCCTAGTCCAAGCACGTCTTTTGGCGACCGCTCAGGTCAATTGCCTCTACAAGGGCTTTGCGGGGCACGCGCCGCCTTATAGGCACTTCCCAAAACGGCCCTAAGCCTCCAAGAATCCCCAAGCCAGAACGGAGGTTCTGAGAAATGGGCAGTGTGAACCAAAGCTTTGGGTGATTCCTAAGCCGGGAGCCTGATTTCCACAAGCGGATTGAGCAGCGCAGCCGACCTATACAGTTGCCCAAGTATGAGGTTCCTTCGTCGGTGGTGGTGGTGGTGGTGGTGGTGAGGCCGGCATACATCTTTGTAAGGAGTTTGTTAGAATCAAACATGTGGGAGCCTTGGCCTCTTCTCGAGTGAACCTCCCAGTGTATGTTTAGGTCCTTTTTCCATTTGGTTGCATCCTCAAGTGATTCTAACCGTGTGACTTCCAAGCATGCTGTCTTGCGGATGAGAATCTCTGCAGGTGGTTTTGTTGCTGCTGCCACAGAAGGAGGCAAAGAGAGTCAGACTTTGGAGAGGAGAACCCTTCCCAGTCAGTCACCACCTGCCTCTGGCATGACACGGGGTGCCCTCTCACCAATTTACGCAGAAATTGGACTTGCTCACCGGATTCCCCTGTCACTTGGAGAACGAGTATTGACCAGGGCTTACGTGTTGCGCGGAATGAGTCAGGAGACCGGTGATGCAGGGCGATCTGTGTTGGTGCCTCTCAGCGGATTCAATGACACTCAGCTCGCACCTTTTTTTGGGCTGTGGGTACGTCCTGAGATCTGAAATCAGGGACCCCCATGTTCCTTTCCAATGGGGTTTCAAGGGAAAGCAGAAGCAAACCACGCATTCCTTTCATGAGCCTAAGGTGTTCCAAGTTGTGGGGCCGGTTGCGGCCGAAAGCCCGGCTGGCAGTTTCGACTATCTGATTTCATGGGGGGTGGCTTGGAGATTGGAGATGTATTATTTTTCCACAAGTAAAAGCTGATAGGTGAGTTCTGCAAGACTGCATGAATTGAAAGTGGATGGATCATTTTCATAGTTTGCAGGAGTCTTAACAGACCCCGTTTTTGGGATTGGAGTTGTGGGGACCCAGGCCAGAGGTTCGTTGTTTTTGGCTCGAGGACGACGATCCGGTGTGCGAAGGAGCTGCTCGCTGCGCTTCAGTTAGCATTGCGATGCTTGGAGCAGATGGCTTTGGAAGGTATCAGTTGCCCAAAGCCGGTGTCCCCATTTCGTTTCATGTTTCGTCATGGCCCCAAAGGTTCACCTTTTAATGTCGCGTCCTTTGGGCAACTGAGTATCCCTTTCATCTTTAGTGTTTGTTGGCTTCTGGGTTTCCTGCCTTTGGAGCAGATGGTATGGCTTTTGGCGTCCTTTTCATTAGGGCTTTTGCGGAAGCCAAAAGGAGCACCGAACTCCTTTGTCGAGGGAGTTCCATGCCCAAAAATATGGATTCGTGGTGTTTTTACCCACCAAGATCGTGGTTGTCCTTTTGGTTTCCGTTTAAAACCACCAAACAAGAGGTACCCTCCCAAAAAGACAGACACGTATGAGGTTCGGGACATAGGGTCAGAAAGGAACCAGGGGACGAGTTGTATATTGCTCATGTCCTTTTTGGGGGAACAAGTAGTAAATTTTGACCGGGGCTCATATTTCCATTTACAACGAACGAATGAGGTTTGCCCAAAAAGGCGCACCCTGTCTTTTGTTGAGGATTCTCTTTTTCGGCATGCTTTGAAGTGCAACCAGAGGGGATCCGGGCTTTCTAGATAAGTGCCTATGGGGCGACAGGCGACTGACACACAGCACAAGGCTTGCGCTCTTGCAATGATTGCAAAACCAATGTATCGTTTTCTGCCGCAGCTTGGCGAACTCTTGTGAACTGACAACCAGCCTTTGGCCCTAACAGATATTGATGTGTCAACTCAAATCGGTGGACCACCATCGACGTAAGCTTTGCCTACGTGTTGTTCGAGAGAGCCAGCCAAAGGGATCCAAACACCTCGCGGACTCGCCACTGCGGGATTCGAGACACTCAGGATTTGTTTAATCCTTCTCGTGCCGACCTTAATGCTGTGGAGAGTCAATGATGTATACTGCCAATTAGACCGTCATCCATGGAGGCAGTAAAAGTAAACCTCCTGGCTCTTGTTTTTCTTTCAACAGCGGGAGTAGTAGGCGCAACCCAACTCATGAAAAAGTACTTCCCGTTTTCAGCCCTGTTTTTGCACCAACCTGCA